GAAAGAGGAAGACTGCTCAATGTGGCGTAGTCATACCGCAGCCATCTCTCCATTTCTCCATCTTCTCAGAATTTGGGGCATGCACGCACACTGCTATGTTGTTCAAACCACTGGCACCAGAATTCAAATTGTGGTTGACTATATGGTACTTGGCTCTCTCAACCACTAGACTATGGGGCTGGCCCTTTTTTCTTTTAAATACCAAATACCCAAAACAGCAGTTGTATGAAGGTTGGAATAGTCATATGATTTAAATGTTTTTGTATAGTGCCTATGTGAGTTAATTTGCCTTATTCACACTAGGGAATGGCCAAATCCAGTGCTGCTGAAACAACCAGAAGAAAGTAATTTGAACCTACCCGTGTGGGATCCTCGGGTATGTGATTTATTGTAGAATTTCATAAAACCTAGTAAAAGGATATTTCCCTAAATTACAGTCTAGTTAAGGATAATTCTTCTTGTTCCTGTTTATTTTCCTTCTGTGTAACTAAAGGCCTTTCCCTTCCTCCGCTATGCTTTTTGGTGCAGATGACTTGGATCCCTAATGCTGATCCAAATGTTACATCATTAAAATTCACCCATGTAAGACTAGATGAGTGGGTATATCCACCACAGTGTCATAATCCATTGTGGAAAACTGTCTCACACGTAATTAGTTCCTAATAATAGTTAAAGTACTGAAGTATGTAAAAGATTTACTTTGCAGTGCAATTTAAAGCTGATTCATGTTTCTAAGACAGCATAATTCTCACATACCTTGCATTTTAATTTGCTTTTAGAGTGAGTGCTCATTCATCTGGGTAACAAAGGGGAAGTCATCCACTGAGTGAGTGCAGAGAAAGGATTGACACCCACTGGACCAGATAATGCTTTTTGTAGTTATGATACTGTATTTCCTTGATTTTAACACCACTGTTTGCAGGATGCACCATCAGTCACAGCTTTTCCAATCAAAGTTAAACTTCTGTAGAGTTTCCTTTGATTTGACTATCAGACACATCTGACTTCAGAAATAAATGTAGTTGGGGATGGGAAATGTACTTTTTAGAATTGAGGAAATGCAGTATTAAATTTATATTTCATATTCTTCAGACTTTTGGGGAAATGAAGTGAGGACAACTGAAATAGGAGAATAGATCAATTATTCTGCTTCTAATTTCACAGGTAAATCCATCAGATAGGTATCATCTCATGCCCATAATCACCCCTGCCTACCCACAACAGAATTCTACGTATAATGTGTCCACATCAACTCGAACAGTAATGGTAGAAGAATTTAAACAAGGTAAACATGTTGGCCCTATTGCCCTTTCCAGATTCCCACTAGTTTTTGGTTGATAGCAGCTTTATTCTCTATTGCAGTTAGTTATATATAACACCTATTTTTTTAAAAAAAATTATTTCTATTATGTAGTTTTTTCAGTAATTAGTTTTCCAAAGCATATAATAATATTAAGGCCAAAAATGGACCCAGTCTAGTCTGATTCATTTTAACTTTTGTGTTCTGAGAAACAATATAATATATTTGTTACTCAAGAATCTGTGGGGTTAGAGGTTTTAGGATAGAGTAATACAAGTGCTGGTCAATTTTCAAGATCAGTCTCTCTCTCTCTCTCTCTCTTTTTTTTTTTCCTCCTTCCTTCCCCATTTAGGTCTTGCAGTCACAGATGAAATTCTTCAAGGGAAATCAGATTGGTCCAAACTACTTGAGCCACCAAATTTCTTTCAAAAATATAGGTATTTGAAATTTTGCATTTTGTAAGGGAGGGACAGATTTGTTTTGTTTTGTTTTTAGGTTTTTGACATAGGGCACATACACTCACCAGAGAGAAACAGAGGAAAAGTAAAAATCACCCTCTGGGGGGGATGGCCACACCACAATCCCTTTTCCTCCATTCTCCTACTCTAATTTCGCACACATAGGCTCTCAGTGCAATTTTTACATCACCAGGTCTAGGACTTCAATCAGGTCGGCCATGCGGGAACCCAGTGCCTTAACCGCTGTATCACCTGTTGGCCCTGTGTGCGTGTGTACACACAGAAAAAGAAAATCTTTAGTTAATATGTGGTAGATGGCATCTGTCACTTGTATTTCTTAAACAAAATAGAAAAGTTAAAGGAAATTTCAAGTGATAAATTAATTTTTTCTAGTAGTATCTAATCTAGTATTAGTGTGTTTTTTTTTAAGTGATTATTTTAACTGCAGGATCTAGAGTTTACTTTTGTGAAGATCAAAACATGTTTTAATTTTCATAAACCATGTGCCTTAGTTAGCCAATTTGTTCAGTGAGAGAGAGAAAGAAATAGTAATGATAAGAAAGCAGACTCTAACAATCTTTCTTTTTTTTTCTTTTTTTTTTTGACTGTTGCTGAAAATTCTTCATAGACATTACATAGTATTAACTGCCAGTGCATCAACAGAAGAAAATCACTTAGAGTGGTAAGACTGTATTTCAAGTTTTCTACCTAGTGTGTGGTAATAGTAACACACTTTTATGGTGCTCTACTATTTATAAAATACTTGATTTTCAGAATTTTAGTATCTTACTGATAATTGTTGTACATGACTGTAGAGCATCAGTGTTTAAGAAATGCCATCAAATTTATCAGGAGTTTTAGAATCAGAAGTGACATGAGATAAGGATCTATGTACAGATTTTGCTTTTTGTTACTTTTTAGCATCAGATTTAAAAGCAAAAGTTGGAGATAATTTGGATGATTCAGATGTCTAGCCTCCTTTTAATGAGTTTTCCATCCTTGCCATCATATTTTCCTCCATCAAAAGTAGAAGGAAAAGACATTTTATATATCCTTTAAATTTAGGACATAGTGGCATGAAATGTTTCAGAAATTTAAGCTTTTGTAAAAACATAAGAGATATTTTTGGTCAAGAGCAGTATATGCTTTCTAGTGTATCTAAATTCATCCCTTCTGCCTGAAGTTATTCACATCCCTGGAGCTATCAGGCAGAAGATACGAGGCCATCAGAGATGGTTATGCTTTCCTTGCTCTGACTCCTAGAAAAGCAAAACACAATAATACCTTCTTATTTTTGCTTCAGGTGTTTAATGCTTATTTCGTTGGTAATTAAAGAGACCTTGAAGAAAAATCTTCGAGTAAAGTAGTGTTTAACTTGTCCACATCAGGGGTCAGGAAACTACAGTCTGGGCCAAATTTAAATTTTATCGGACTACAAGCTATACTCATTGATTTATATATTGTCTGTGACTGCTTCCATGCTTCATAGCAAAGTCTAAAAACTAGCTGCAAAGTCTATCTGATGCTACCATTTATATAAACAAGTAAAAAAATTTGGAGGCCAACAGCGATTACATGGCCCAAAAGTCTAAAATATTTTCTGTTTAGCCTTTACAGAAAATGTTTGTCAACCTCTCATTAGATTACACTGGAATAACTGAGATTTTTGAGTAGCTATTGTTAAAACACATACAATTACAATACGTAAGCTTTGTAGGTTTTTTTGTGGGGGGGGAATTTTTTTTTTTAAATGTAGACTCAGCCACAGTTGTACACACTGCTAAGAGTATACTCCACAGGCTGAGACTACATGGGAAGCCCAGGTTTGATTCCCAGTTCAACCTAAAGGCTGAGGACAGTGGTATATACCAGCAATCCAGAAGGCTGAGGCATGATAACCACCCTAAGACCCTGTCTAAAAAGGCAAAAAAAAAAAAAAGGTGAAAATATTCTTGTAGTTCTTCTAATTCACAAACTAATAAGTTGATTTGGTCAAATTTCTTAAGTGAGATATAACATAAAGTTGCAATAATCCAGTGAAAAACTTCAAATATTTTAATTAAGTTTAGTGAATTCTTTTCTCTTTTTTTTTTAAAAAAAAGATTTTTTTTATTATCATCGGGTACATGCACTTGCCTTAGAGAGAGAAAGTGAGAAATCACTCCCCAACTGGGGATGACCACACTACAATTCCTTCTCTGTTCTCCTTTTGGAATTTTGGGCACACACACACACACATAACACATGCCCAGCATGTTTTTCAAGCCTCCAGGTCCAGGACTTAGACCCCAGAGTCAGCCCATGTGGGATCCAGCACTTTAATCACCACACCACCTGCTGGCCCAGTGAATTCTTTTTTAAATGCAGGGTCTCATGTTAATTTTGTGAAAACCATAACATTTATGTAATAAATTATGTGCCAGTAATAGCTTTTTTGTTCATATTATTTAAACTACCTTGCTTAGCCTTGGAGTTTAGATATAAATTTGAAAGTAGGAAAAGATTCAGGATCATATTAACCAACAGTTTTTCTTCATGCTCAGGCTATGACTTATTTTATAGTCTTATAAAGCAGACTATTTTATATTCAGGAATGCATTCAATAGATCAGTTCTTCTACAAGGAGAATCCACAGAAACTCATTAAGTAACTTGTTATTAACCTGAATGGTATTTTTTTTTTTTTTGAGAAGTTTTTCGCTATAGGGCGCGTGCGCTCACCAGACAGACAGAGAGAGACAGGGAGACAGAAAGCAAGAAATCACCCCCCAGGGGGGATGGTCACGCCGCAGTCCCTTCTCCTCCATTCTCCTCTCGGGATCTTGGGCACACATGCATATGCACCTGGCGTGAGTTTTAAGCCACCAGGTCCAGGACGTGAACCACAGTCGACTACGTGGGAGTCCAGCGACATAGCCATTACGCTAACTGCTGGTTCCCTCACCTGAATGGTATTTTAAGCAGAATCCCTAATGTATTGAAGTGACTATTTTAAATGAACATGTAAAGCTTCATAGTTTATATGCTGTTTGGTTTACACAAATGTAGCTTCCAAGGTTAATACGGTCATAAGAAAAGTCTTGTCCATTGTCCATTTTAGGGTTGGATTAGTAGAATCTAAAATTCGTGTGCTTGTTGGAAACTTGGAACGGAATGAATTTATTACTCTTGCCCATGTGAATCCCCAGTCATTCCCAGGAAATAAGGAACATCATAAAGAGTAAGTTCATTGTTTTTTAATGTTACATCCCTTAGATAATGTTATTTCACATATGCCAAATTATTTCAGATCAGTTGTGAGATTATCATTTATAGGCATGGGAGGGTTAAATTTTATGTTTGAGTATGAGTGACCATGTGTTAAAAATAAGTACATATTACTTTGGTAGTCCACAGACACCAGCGAGACCTCCATCACAATATTGGAGTATCTTAAGTATATATTCAGTAAGTTATTTTCAAAACCACTTAATCCTCTCTAGAAAAACATAGGATTACTTGTCAGTGTTCTGAATGTCAGTTTTAAGTATTTGGCCAAACTACTGAAATCTGCTTATGAGATAGAGACATAAAGACCAAGTTTAAATTAACAAATAGCATTTGTAAAATTGTAAAAAAAAAATAAAAAAAAAATTAATGGAACTTCTTAAATTTTACTTTATAGCAACAATTACATATCAATGTGGTTCCTCGGAATAATATTTCGGAGAGTAGAAAATGCAGAAAGTGTTAACATAGACTTGACATATGATATACAGTCTTTTACTGATACAGGTAAGACCTTGTCATCATGGAGTTGTGGTCCTCAACCTTGGCTGTAACTCAGTATCATCTGCCTAGGATCTGGCTGACTGTTTTTTAAAGTTCCACAATTGATTGTACCATGTATGGTGCACCCATATTACAGAAATCTGCACCAGTGATAAAAGGAAAGACATGAAGTAATTTCAAAGACATGATAAGGGAGAGGAAGTTGCAGGGTAAAGTGAATAGTGTGCTACTATTTATATAAATAAAGAAAAATATGTATATGCTTGCTTAGTGTAAAAACATTGGCAGGGTGGGTGCTCCTAGGTCAGGGAACCAGTATGTCTAGGGATCACATGAGATTTCACTGAATATTCCAAAACCCTTTGAGTTTTCTACCATGTGAATATATGAACTGGTTTTTAATAAAGAAAAGAAAACTAAAATTCTGCAGGTGATTCTTTGTGTGCACAGCCAGGGTTTGTAATCACAATCGCACAGATGACTTGTTTTTTAATGTTTTTTATATGAAATATCAGTAAGTGAAGATGTGTTGAATATGTTTCAGGATTAGTGAAGAGTGTCTTTCACATCTGGCCCCTTTATAACACCTTTCCAGAATACCGAAATATATGTGTTATAAATCTGAGGTTATCTTAAGAATCTGAGTAGTGTATATTCATATTATTCTTGGGTTGGCTCATCTGAGTTTTCTAAATTCTTTTGAAATAGTCCTCACATTTATCGTGAAAATACCAATTCCTATGCCTCACCTCAGAAACATTGAATCAACTTGTCTCTGAGTATGGAACCAGAGAATCTACCATTTGAATAAGCACTCCTGATAATTCTTTTATAAGCAATCTGGAATGAAAACACAGACATAAATTTTCCCATTCTCATTTTCCCATTCTTGCTCAAAAAGGAAATGGTTGGCAAGCTCTGTTTATTATAGATTTATAAAATATTCTTTTCCAGATGAGGAAACATTAAGCCCTAGAGATTAAATCATTGACCACATTTCACAGTAGTTGCTGTGCAAAACGCACCTTCTATTCCTATCTTCAGGGGGGCTTATATTCTAACTAAGTACTCACAATTAAGATACATTAAGTAATTTGTGTAGTAGTTAATGAAGCTGGTTTTCTTATAAGGTGTGAAAAGGACTAGATTGGAGTCCCAGGCTGTGTGTACACTGATCCTGGCAAGGTATTAGGGACTGTTGAGCTTCATTTCCCCACCTGTACAGTAAGGATGTACTTGCAGATGGTTTCTGAAATCTGATGTTCTGTGGTTGGTCTAGGCTACAGCAGGTCTCATGGAGGAGGAAGAGCTTGAAATACATCTTAGATATTTGATAAGAATTAGCTTGACTTAAGCAATTAGGACTATAGATTGCCTTTTGAGAAAACAGCAGAACACAAGATTTGGAGAATATCTTTTTCCCATGCATTTATTGTGTTAATAAGATTCTGTTATGAGAAAGCTTTAAAAATGGTCATGGAAAAACTAGTTGACTCTTGAATAGGATTGTGATGTGATGGAAATGTTTTAGAAATATTTGCTCTGTAAGAGGTGTAGGTGGGTGTGTGTGTGTGTGTGGTGGTGGTGGTGGTGGTGGTGGTTAGTGGTGGGGGAGATATTGAAGGTCCATGTGTTTCAGAAGTAAACAGCCCTTGGTTCAGAAAGAAGCTTCCCATTTAATATATTGACATTATTACAGTGTACAGGCAGGCAAACAATATAAACATGCTAAAGGAGGGAATGAAAATTGAAGCAACTCATGTAAAGAAAAAACAGCTTCATCACTACCTTCCAGCAGAGATTCTTCAAAAGAAGAAAAAGGTAAGTTTGTAACCTTGATTCTTCATTGGTTCCACTGAGACAGATGATCCCAGGTCCAAACCTAGTGATAAAAGGAGGGAACATATAGACAATTCGTTGTAGGACTAAAATTTTACCTTCATTAATCACAAGAGAGAATGTGCTTTTATGTACTTCCCAATTGAAACCCATCTTTATCTTCTAGCTTGCTTTTTAAAATCCTAAAAACTTTCTCCTCTTTCAGCAAAGTCTCTCTGATGTTAATCGAAGCTCAGGTGGACTTCAATCCAAAAGGTCATCTCTGGATAGCAATTGTTTGGATAGCTCTAGAGACACTGATAATGGAACACCTTTTAATTCCCCAGTGTCTACAAATAAGCCTTCCAAGCCTGATAGTCCTCCTTCAGGAGAAACAGAAAGGTCTGTATTTCAAAATTGTTCTTTCAGTCTTCTTTTGAGTTTATTTGAGGATAAAGCTAATTATGCTATCCTTTGCTAAATGCCTTTATAATTATTGAAAGATTTTATTTATCATCTGCTTGAAGCTTCTTGTTTAGAAATACTTGACAATTTGTGGTCATCCTGTGGGAGGTCGTCTAGGCTTTTGAGTTGTATGGCTAGATAGTACATAGGCTCAGGTTTTCTGCTTGCATTTTCTTAATTCTCTTTAGTCACTTTTTTCTCTCCTTTTCCTTCAACAACATGTTAAAGTACAAGCACTTGGAAGAAGTAATTCTCAATGTTAAAGTAAGAGTGTTTTAAGTAAGTAATATGTCATTTAGTGATGATAATTTAACACTTTTACTAGGAACAGTGCTGAGCCTGCTGCTGTAATTGTGGAGAAGCCACTGAGTGTCCCACCAGCTCAAGGACTATCTATTCCAGTCATTGGTGCAAGTAGGTATCTAAACTTTTGATACCTTATTAATGATCTACCACATAAATACTTAATTCTTATAGTCTTTTTTTTGTTTACCTTTTCAGAAGTTGACTCTACAGTAAAAGCTGTTTCACCTCCTGCTGTGTGTACCATTCCTACTGTGGTAGGACGAAATGTCATTCCTAGAATCACAACACCTCACAACCCTGCCCAGGGACAACCACATCTAAATGGAATATCAAATATAGCTAAGAACATTACACCCAAGAGATCCCATTCCCCATCCATAGACGGTACTTCAAAGAGGTTGAAAGACATAGAAAAGGTAGTTACAATTTTAGTGTGATTCAGTAATTTATTTAAGTTAACTTAAATCAATACCAAAGAAACAGTTCTCCATAGCTATATTAAGTGTTCCATTAGGAGTTGACTAAAAGAATATTTACCCAAGCCCTGAAGAAAAATTAATTTCTTGTCCTAAATTCAGATTACTTATGTGTCTGGAAATGTAAATGACTGATGTAAGTTTCTCTTTGGCTTACACCTAAGTCATTATTGGTACCTAGATAATCTTATTTCTTGTGTCTTATAATGTCAATCTCCTCTCCTTCCAGTAGGTGGTGGTAAAACTTTATTTTTTTTTCTTTTTTTTTTTTTTTCTTTTTTTTGGAGAGGTTTTTGCTATAG